TAAGGTCATTGAATCAGATTAGACCATTAGCATCTTGCTCTCGATCACTTTTTTATTTAAAGTTTGAGTCTTCTGTAGTTATATCATACAGTATGTTAAAACCACAGCTGGTGAAATGATATTGTTTAAATGGTGGTCCAAGTGTAGGGCTTGGTTCTTAGGACTTTTTTCAGGTACTGTACATGCTGAAGCCATGGTACGACAGCAAAGTTCTTTGATTATTAAGCAGGAATAGGAGTATAGTTTCTAGCCATGTCAAACTAGAAAATAGCAACTTTTCTGTCAGTCTTAGTACACAATACAACTACAAAAGGGTCAAGCTTAAAATAGGAAAATTATTGAAGCTTTTTTGAGAAAGATGCTAATGGTCTAATCAGATTCAATGACCTATGCTAAGCCAAATCAAAGAGCTTAGAATGACCAAGAGGCGACACTTTAGTGTAATTTGGGAAACAGACACTAGAGGGTGCGGCGGCCATTTTGGAATGAAAACTCCATTAGAACAACAGCATATTATAAGTCTGTAAAATAAAGTATTAAAAGTGCTGATGATTGTGATAATAAGTGTTGTATTGTTGTATTTCAGGTTGTATCTCAGTTTTAATGGGCTTTTTAAATAAATAAACAAAAAACAAAGCAGCTGCTTGCCATCGCGACAGTAATGAGATCCAATGGATCACTTTCACTCGAAAATGGCGGAATCCGGGGCTGTTGCTGGGCGCTGCTGTTGCAATGGAACGTTCTATTGAGTGTCGCCTCTTGGTCATTCTAAGCTCTTTGGCTAAGCTAAAAGTGCTCCCAGAGATTGACTGAAAGATTTAAACAATAATAAAACTCAACTGCTTATCTCTGGGGCACTTGTAAAATGATTTTAAAAAAATTTATAAAATTCTGTTATGCTTAAGAATGACATCAGCATATATTCTGTGCTAACATGTATACAGCATTCCAATTAAACATTACCTTATTCAAAAACAGTATTTTGAGCAGACTGATGGGATTAAACTCATAATCATAGAAACCATCCCCGTAATAAAATATGTGGAATAATCTAAATTTAATTACAATAAACACGCATACACCTTGATTACAATTTTATTAGTCTGACCAATTTTATCAGCATAGATCATACTTTATGTATGACCCTCTCTTAAACATTGAATTACAAAACTCAAAATATGCATGTAATATACATGTACCGTAATATTTTACATGTATATATTACACGTTGCTGTTAGACTGTTTATTTATTTCCATACAGGAGACACTTTGGCTGCACATTCCTGTCAGAATTGGCACTCTTTACTAATTACAACTGCATTGATGGTGAAGAAGATTGTGATTTGCACAAGTTATATTGTTGATGTGGCCTATAATACGTTGAATTGTTTCCCAGCTCACTAGGTTTTGGAACAGAGCTGTTGTTAGTTTCCATAAATTACAGCCAAACCACTTGCATGAACTGATGAGTACAAGTGTGTGTGGATCCGATTCGACATGCTAAAGTTTTTTTTTTTCTGAATTTGCTCCAGACTGGTTTTTTTTTTCTTTCTCTTGTTTTTAGATTTTCTTTCTTTCTCTTCCATGTTCTTTTTCTTGCTTGCCCTGTGTTTTTTCTCTTCTCAGATATCTTCATTTTCTTTCTCCTCCTGCCTTGCATCCACTCCTTTATCCTCCCTGTTGTTCCTACTGTTTACAGAGAGTCTTTACTCTGTTCCCCTACTGTTCACGGATGCTGTTCTCTCTCTACCAGAGCACTGAAAGCAGTAACCTAGCGAGCTTTTGCTGAAGGATGTTATAAATGAAAATTTAGCCAAAGTTCCATCAGCTTTGTCAACGGGACAAGATGATGTGTGTTTCCTCTGCTTAAGACAAAAAAGAAAAACTATTTGGAATGTAGACATAGGATAAGTCTCACAAAAACATGTCCAGCTCATTTTTTCATCCTAAAAATAAAATGTCAGTGCTAAATATGCATTACGTTTGGTTTTTATAGATCTATTTGAATGTGACTATTGAGTTAATTTAATTGGACTTTTAGATTAAACCTTTAGAGCACAATTACGTAAATATTAAAATGAATCTACTCTGTAAAACCCAACAGTGAACTTTATCAAATGAAATAAGTGTAGTTATCTCAAAATTTACTCAAAGTTAATTCTACTCATTTGAAGTTCTAAAAAGAAATGTGTTACTTGAATATCTCATTACTTCAGCTTAAATGGAGTAAGTTCACATTACTCATATAGATTAGTTTTTTTAACTCAAATGGTTTGCAGCAATCAGTTTCCTCAAACAATTTGAGTTGCCATAACTTATTGGGTTTCACAGTACTCAGTTGGTTTGAGTTCTCTTCATTTATTAGGTTTTACTGTGCTCAAATTGCTTCGTTTACTCAAATGGATTAAGTTCACAGTACTCATTAGGATTAGTTTTTTAACGTAAATTGTTTGTTTCCTATAATGTTATGAGGATTTTTTTTTTAAGTATTTTTATCCATTTCTCAGTATATATGGGTATTATGTATTGGTGCATTTGAGCAAAACAGATTTATTAAACATAGTTTATTTAGTTTAGTTTAAGACTTTATTAATCCCCTCTGGGTAATTCATTCCGACATGGCGGTGCTTCACATATCATGGCCTTGGAATTATACGGTTCTATCTGTGTTCTGAATGATTTTGAGATATTGAGCTTCTATGGAAGTTTTTGCATTCCATAGCAAACAGTATGTGTGTAAAAAATTTTTTTTAAAGTCTTAAAATGTCAACAACTTATAAAAAACATCCCATAATGTAAATAAGTTATTTTTAAAGTTATTTTAAAGTTATTTTTTTAAATTTAATAAGAATATGTCAATAACTCAATTTTGTCAAAATGTCAGATAGAACCTTATAATTCCAAGGTGACGATATAACAGGAATAACACACAATAAACCCAACACTTAACATCAAGTACACAAACATGCAAAAAGAAATCTAATAATAAATTTAAAAAATAATCCATCGATTTACTATGTATTACATAACCGAATTGCTTCAGGCACAAAAATGAATTTAGAATGATTTGTGGAACATCTTATTGTCTTAGACGTCACCCAAGGGGCATCCACTCCAACATCACATTTCCCCAATTAATCAGCAACATCTAAAGACCGAATTTCCACATCTTTATCATCTTCACTTTTAAAAAAGAAACTAACAGCTTTATAAAAGTACTTTAAAACTCCACGAGATGACAAAAAAACTAGCTGAACTACAAAACAAAACAACAAACTGAAGCATGCCTGCAAATCTGCCAGTTGCCACAAGAGCAACGCCCGGAAGTGAATAAGATGTATTCAATGCAATTCAGTTTATTAGTTAATGTTAATTAATGTATTTACTAACATGAACAAACAATGAACAATACATTTACTACAGTATGTATTTATGTTAGTAAACTTTAGTTAATAAAAATACAGTTATTCATTGTTAATTCATGTTAACTCACGGTGCATTAACTAATGTTAACAAGCACGGACTTGGATGTTAATAATGCATTAGTAAATGTTTAATTATGATTAATAAATGCTGTACAAGTGTTGTTCATGATTAGTTCATGTTAGTAAATGCATTAGCTAATGAACCTTATTGTAAAGTGTTACCAGTTCATATTTATAGCGCTTTTCACAATGTAGTTCTAGTAAAGTCCAGATTTCAGAGTTTATGTTCAGTTTCGTTTAGCTCAGTGTGGCTTTAATTTCACTGCTGAAGGTTCAAACACTGTAGAGCGAATCCACCGATCCACTCGACAATAGTGACAGTGGCCAGGAACAAAAACTTTACCAATTGACGAAGTAAAGGGAAAAAAAACCCTGAGAGAGACTAGGCTCTGTTGGGCACAACCATAATTCTTCTGACCAAATTTCCTGTGTGGAGCTGCAGTCGAGGCTTAAGTCCAATCTAATTAATTAAATAATCAAATTCAAATAGATCTATAAAAAATAATATTAAAATATATATTAAAATAATGTTTTAGTCATAAAACATAGAATAAAAACATAGAAATTGAAACATATTTCATTTAAATTCATGTAAAATTTTGCAAAAACAAAAAGACAAACTACAACATTTCAACAAACTTTTAGATATTTTCTGCTTCTCTTGATTTTTGCTATTTTTGAAAATTGTATTTAATATGTTTCCCTAACATTTACATTTGGGCTACTAATTTTTTAACCATTATTGCAAGTAATTTTGTTAGATTAGCTCCAGATTTGGCTTCAGTGCTGATTAAGCTAATGTAAATGCACAAATATAATAATGTAAAGCATCCTATTGAAATGAGAGATTTGTAGGAGGTGAACTCTTATATGCTAAACACTGTATTTATTTGTCTATTAAATTAATTGACTGCAATATTTACTAAAACCTTGGAATAACTTAAATCAGCAGCCCAATGTGGCTATTTGTACTATTTATTTGAGAGAGGATGAAAAATGATGCTGCACATGTTTGGTGAGATTAGAGAAATGCCTTCTTAAGTGATTATTATTATAATAATGTTAGCTTTTTATTATAAACCCAGATTTATTGGTGTTTTTATAACCTCTATTCATATGGACCTGGAAATAAAGTGCATTTGTCAAAAAGAGTCCCACTATTAGTAGTTATTACCCTTTTAAAACTGGTTATCTCCAACAAGATGATTGATTGACTCTGCATGTGCCATTGCCTGCAAAGCTGAACGCTCGAACTGTACTTTAAATTAGAGTGATGATTATGATCGTTTAGATTTTATACCTCATGGTTTTCCTTAATTATAATAATTAATCGTTTTTTAGTCATCTCATCATGATGTTTCAGATGATTAGTCTAAAAATGTATCTCTTGGCACACACAAAAAGGAACACACATTACTTGTTCGGTTACAAAGAAAGATAAAGGAATCTATAAATTTTACATTTACAAGATCCTGCAACGAAGGCGTTGTAAGTTACTCTTTCTGGGCACCGCAGGTTCATGCAGCACCGACGTAAAGGAAAACCGCAACCTGGACAACGTCTCTTCTAAGGAGGGAGCTGGCCTGGTGGAGCAGCTCCCGAATGGTAGTGGAGGAGGGGGTCGCAAGCGCCCTCTGGAGGAGGGCAACAATGGCCACTCGCACTCCAAATTCAGACCCAAGAAACGTAAGAAAACCCCAGGGCCGGTTCTGCCCAAAAATGCCCTGATGCAGCTCAATGAGATCAAACCAGGTTTGCAGTACAAGCTGCTCTCGCAAACCGGCCCAGTTCACGCTCCAGTCTTCGTCATGACCGTCGAGGTTAATGGGCAGTTGTTTGAAGGCTCTGGGCCTACAAAGAAAAAGGCCAAATTGAATGCTGCAGAGAAGGCCCTGCGATCCTTTGTGCAGTTCCCAAACGCATCCGAGGCCCACCTGGCCATGGGCCGAACGCTCACAGTCAACACTGATTTCACCTCCGACCAGGCTGACTTCCCTGACATGCTCTTCAACGGGTTTGAGACGCCGGCACCGCCTGAGGAAACGTTTTTTCTGGGTTCCAACGGCAACGGCTCCTTAAACCCGCTGGGAGAGTATCCCGTTCCTCAGGCGGCAGGTACAAACAGCCTCGTGCAGGCGCCGCTCCCGCCGCCCTCCTCCTTCGCCTCCTCGGCCAGCGGCAAAAACCCTGTCATGATCCTCAATGAGCTACGGCCGGGCCTCAAGTATGAGTTTGTGTCAGAGAGCGGGGAGAGCCATGCTAAGAACTTTGTGATGTCGGTGACTGTGGACTCGCAGATGTTTGAGGGATCGGGGAGAAATAAGAAACTCGCGAAAGCCCGAGCAGCCCAGGCAGCTCTGTCATCGCTCTTCAACATGCAACTGGACCAGACCCCGTCCCGACAACCCATCCCGAGGGAGGGCCTACAACTGCACCTGCCACAGGTAAGAACTCGGTCACTCGGTCTCTGAAGGGTTTTATATTTGGCAGAAAACATACCCACGTGTAGACTTTTTTACATGTTAGGGTTCAACACTAGGGATATTTTCTACTGGCCCAATTGGACAATGGTCCAAAATTTTCACTGGCCATACCAAAACAATTTAATAAAAATAGCTAATTTTTAGCCACATATTTTAAGTAATGTGTCAAAAATAATGCCTGTGAATCTAGAATTTTAATATTTTAAAAATGTAATAATATTTAGCAGTAAAATAAAGCAGTATGGAAAATGTGCAGGAATTTTATTGCAAAACAAAAGGTGGCTGACTTAAAAGTGACAGAAACCATGCAAAACATCACTTTTTTTCATCGTGTTGTACCCATGTAAATATCTATTTCCACAACGTTAGAAACAGACGTTTTCTTTTAGCCTCATTATTTGATGTTGCCGTCTCTTCAATTCAACAGCCAATCAGATAAAAGGAACCAAAAAGCAATATGATGTTTACGACTTCATAGAAAATGCGAAACATTCAAAGACTTAAAAGCGCAAGTTGTTTCTCGATTCTAAGACTGTATATATGCACACAATTGACGAAATGTCGCAGGCAAATCAAAAATTTTATGACAAGGCAGCGCTGGCCTGATCGGGCCAGTAACAATTCCTAACATCCCTCACATTGGCCCCGAGCCATCGGGCCGTCCTTATTGTTGAGCCCTGCATGCGGATCTCAAGATGGGGCTTTGTTAGAGCACAGTGTTACAATGTAACCTGCTCATGTTTATGTTTGTAAGAATCAGAAAGAGCTTTGTTGCCAAGTGTGCTTGCACAGACAAGGAATTCATCTGAAAGGGTCTTCCATTACACAGAGTTTAAAAAGTGCAAACATAGTGTAGACATAAATAGAAGAATAGAATGAATAACTAACAATAGCATACAAAATCAAGAGTATATAAATTAAAATAACTGTCCTTAATGTTTATATTCATTTGTTCATTTTCCTTCAGCTTAGTCCCTTATTTAGGGATGTCACAGCGGAATGAACCGCCAACTATTCCAGCATATGTTTTACACAATGGATGCAATTTTAGCCACAACTCAATTTGGGGAAACACCCATACACTCGCACTCACTCACACACACACACACACTCATACACTACGAGAGAGGAATATGCAGGACAATGTGACAAAATTTGATGAACACCACGCCCCTTTAAGGTGGGATTTCCGATTTAAGACCCACCCATTTTTATATACATTTAATAATTCCGGTAATTAGATACTCATCATTTAAATTAAATTATAATTTAGGTAAATTCTGAAACCTAAAATAAATGTTATTTGTTTTAAACCATGGATAAATGACAAGCTCTGCGCACCTCTTTCTGTGCCTCAGCATGCGCCATCAGTTTTTGAATTTTAGCGGTTGATGATGTGAGCTCAAAACCATCTAATCACACCGGTGTGATCGAATGCTTCAGGGACCAGCCAAGGCGGATCACGCGGGTGTGATTGTACGCATGAAAGGGTTAAATGAGAAAACTGGGCGTGGCTTGCTTTTTCTGCTGCAAGCTGATTGGATGTAGTAAAGTAAGCATTTCATTCAGAAAGATCGGTAAAAGTGTTTGGGGAGAGTTATTGTCCTAACAGACACCTCCTCCTCTCCATTTCTGTTTGTTGTCAAAACTGACAGTTGAATGTAGTCTGACAATTTAACTAAATTTAAACAGGAAGTGCATTTTTTAGATTTTAATTAAAGGTTGCAAGGTCAAACAAGACTTTTTTTTTTCTTAGTGACATGCACGGATGATTTGTTCACCATAAAACTAGCAACACGAGCTAACAATATCAATCTGGTTAGTTTTGAATTCATTCGTACTTTAAAGAAGACGCAGATCTCGTAGATAGGGAAAGATTATAGCCTAGGACCAGCCACTGCTAACGTATATTTAAAAAGTCAGGGATTCTGCTACTACTGATTAATACGTTTGAATAGTTTTGATAGTTCTGTATGTTAGTTAAAAGTTTGCATATGCTAAAGTCTACACAGTTGCTTGAAATCTTTGCTAAGACATGCAAACTAATGCTGCCGCAGGGTGTTAGAACAGGGAATCAACAGGGAATGATGAACTATGAACAACATTAAATGCAATGTGACTGTTAGACGAAGGTTAAATCCTATTGTAGCATTAAAAAAAAATAGCAAGATGTACTGTAGCGGTTCAGGCACATCCATTCCCATGCTTCAAAAATGGTCTTTAACTCTTCTGTTTTGGAAAAGCACCTCAATTATTGATTATTGTGCATCTCTGTAGTTATAGATTATTTATACTCTACAGGTACACAAACCTCAAATGTTGTTCAGGATAGATATTCATTGTTTAATAATAAAAGTTAGAGAATATTTTTTACGAACTCTTCACAGGATTACTTTTGAATCTTTGTTTAAAGCTTTTCAAGACGTGTACATCTTGCTTTAGCGCACACATCAGACTGATAAAGCCTGGTTTTATCTGATGGCTAACAATCTGATGAATGTAAGAAATCGCTCCTTCACATCTCATAGTGTTTAATTAAAGTTTCTGATCCGTTGAAGTTCATCGGAGATCATCATCTAAGCTTTTATACTGCAAAGCTGACATATTATGGCTGTCTTTATTATCAACAAAGTCTAATGGAAATAAAATGGACTTTGGTAAAACAGTGAAATGGATTGGATTGGATATAGTATTGTTATTTAATAATTTAGTTTTAAATTAAAGATCTTTTTGTAATTGATTGTATTCAACATTTATATATTTGAAAAAAATGATATATATATATATATATATATATATATATTTTTTTTTTTTTTTTTTTTTGCACTTGATTACAGTTTTTTTTTTTTTTTTTTTTTAAATATTTCCCAAGTTTTGTTTTTATTTATTTTTTTTACAGAGAATATTTTAAACTAATTTTTAGTAATAATAGCTTAGAAAAATGTAATAGCTAATTTTTTTGGTCATCTGGTCTTTGTCGTGATAGATGTACATAACATTTTCAGCTTTAAGTACTATTTAAAGGCTTAACTATGCTACTTAAGCAAGTCATTGGACAACAGTGGTTTATTCTGTAGACAAACCAAAAAAAAGTAATTTTTTTTTTTTGCTCTGATAAGCATAATTTCCAAAATATTTGAAAAATGATAAAAACAAAAATGCAATTAATTTTGTCTTCAACTGTATATCTACTAGTATTACCAATATTCAATTTCTTTCATGTACTGTATGTTTACACCCACAAACATTATATATAAATATATTTATTTTTATATAAATATATCTTAAATGTTACAACAATGCAACATTTTTGCATTGTACTTTCACAAAAGCTATGTAGTCATATGAAAGCAGAAGTTTTATGTGCTATCTATGTGCATAAAATCATTTGTAAATTGTTTTTTTTTTTCCAAACATCTACACTGTAAAACACAACAGTGAAAATTACAATAGAAATAAGTTGAGTAGTGAAAAGAGAAATAAGTATCTTTTTTTATTACTTTGACTTCTTGAAAAAAAGTTATGGTTACTCATAAAATAATTACATTAAACTGAACTCAAACTTAATGAGTTATAAAATAGTGAACTATATTCTTGTGTTAACTGAACTCTACAGCTAGAAGCAATCGCAAGCCATTTGAGTATCTATATAGTTGTTTGGACTTAATTGTTCCATTAACTGAACTTATACCGATTTGTATATACACTTGAAGTCAGAATTATTAGCCCCCCTGTTTATTTTTTCCCCAATTTCTGTTTAACAGAGAGAAGTTTTTTTTTTACACACTTCTAAACATTATAATTATATTAACTCATTTCGGATAACTGATTTATTTTATCTTTGCTATAATGACGGTAAATAATATTTGACTATTTTTCAAGACATTCCTGTACAGCTTAATGTGCCATTTAAAGGCTTAACTAGGTTAATTAGGTTAACTAGGCAGGTTAGGGTAATTAGGCAAGTTATTGCATAACGATGGTTTGTTCTATAGACTGTCGAAACAAAATATAGCTTAAAGGGGCTAATAATTTTGACCTTAAAATGGTGTTTACAAAATTATTAACTGCTTTTATTGTAGCTGAAATAAAACAAATAAGACTTTCTCCAGAAGAAAATATATTATTAGACATACCGTGAAAATGTCTTTGCTCTGTTAAACATCATTTGGGAAAAAAATTGGGGACTCAATAATTTAATTTTTTTTGTGACAAATTAGTTATTTTAATTGACTTCAAAGTGAAATAACTAAACATAAACCTAGGAGGCTGACAAAAAAGTCATTTAAGGAGAACATTTTAGTTTGCATTTAGAGGTTTTTGCTTCTGAACTCGCATAGATTCCCAATTAAATGCATTTGTAAAGAAATATTTTCCTTGATCTAGTTATTTACATTTTAGATATATTTATATTTTAGATATATTTAGATATTTTGGCACTGATTTAAACTTATTCTTGAACGTAATACCTTTCCTCCATGTAAATTTACACACACACACACACACACACACACACACACACACTAACATTTATACAATAAAAAAATTGATTCTTTTTTACATAAAGATATTTTAAACACAACAGCAATGGAACATTTTGACATTTTATTTTCACAAAATCTATGTAGACGCATGAAAGTACACACTTTACTTGCATTTAATTTGCGTACTTTGTGCATTAAATATTTTTTTATTTTTTTCCAAACTTCTAGTCATTGACAAATATTTAGATATACTGGCCTTTAAACGTTTTCCTAAATTAAAAGGCTTCACTCAGTTGATCTCAGTTATACCGATTCATTTGATTCAACTCCTAATGAATTGCATCTCGCAAAGTAGGACCTTGATTTTCGTATTAACCCCAAGAATGTATTTTAAATTGAATTATTATGCTATTCACGATTCAACTTAATGTTAATGTCAGTAACAAAAGTATTATGAATGTGTCATCAATATAGCGC